TCTACTAACATTAATTTTTTTTTTTAATACTTAAAAATGCATTTCAGATTGGTACTCACTTTTCTACAGAACTGAGAGCTATCAAAAAGATTCTGCACATGCACCAAACCTCAAATGAAACTCCTACCTCCTATAAATATTAAATGTACTGTGTTAGTTTATGATGCAACCAGCATTAGACTATAGCCCTCCACCAACAAGAGAGTGACACATCATTCATGCATAGTCATCCTCTTGTGCACATTCATATTATCATAAGCTCATGCTTGAAGAGGCACAAGAAACACACCAGGAGCAGGGAAGAATGGTGAGTGGTTCTGTGGAGAGATTTGTTACCTATCTGAAGTACATTTTTAAGGTTAGGAAAATGTTCACATCGGAAATGCTACCACCTCTTTACTGAACTGAGAACTAGAGTCCCACATTGATAATATGGTGAAGAGGTCAATTTAGATAAAGAAAATTAAAAAGATTAGGACCTTTCTGAAACTTCTAGCACTAGAAAGGGAAACTCGTGGAGAGTGTCATTCATTAGGGGAGGGAGGGACCTAGTGTGGCATAACTTGGTGGGAAACCACATTCTTCTCCTTCAGGAAACAAATATCCATATACTGGTAGAAATGTAGGCCCAACATATGCATCCTCCATACAAATGGAAGATCCTGAAACTGAAAAATCCAACCACCATGGTTGAATTGGAGGAAATAACAGATGGTTGACAAACCAAAATGTGAAAAATATCCAAAACATCAACTCTCATAATCCTCCACAACCCTGGAGAGAACACTTACCTCAGGTTGAGAAAATTGTCAATCTAGAACTGAGAGATGACAAGCAATGGATTCAAGGACAACAGAACAAACACAGGCCTCCAATGACCTGTTTTGATGGGAATGATAAAAAGACAGGACTAAAATTCCAGACTGTAGTCGAGGACTTTGTTCACAGTGTTCATAATATAGAGAGAAGATACAGCCTCCTCCAAAAACCAAAGTGCAAGGGAACCAAGAGGGTGAAAAGAGTAGGTTGTGAGTGGAAAGACAGGAAAAGCCTGTGAGAAAGCACCTTTGTGACCTAAAAGTCTTCTGCAAATGCAATTCAAGGGTATGTAAAGTGGGAGAGTGGAGCTCCCACCAGATTGAAGTTGAGGAATGGCTCCAAAAACAAATAATCTTACATGAAACCCAACACACCAAAGAAGAAGAGGAGAGACTTTGCAAAGTATCAAGTGGACATGAACCAGGAAAGTGGGTAACCCTATGAGGGTCCCAAGAATGAGAAACCTGCTGGAATCCAATGGACCAAGCAAGATGAAAAACTAAAGAGTTCAGAGAATAATTCTGATGAACTTTCCAATGAATAATGACTCCCCCCGAAACAAAATGAATGATGGGTGCTACAAGAAGGTCCTTGAGATAAAACTGATAGTGACTTCAAAACGTAAGGCATCCTGCCAAAGAATCCATTTTAACTTGGATACCATAGTAGATTTTAAAAGGCCAAGATAAAGAACATGTAGATGCATCATAGACTGGTGTAGTATATGTTAACCCTATAATCATGACACCACTTTTAAAACCCTTTCTGCACATGTTACTGAGTTACATTTAAAACTTAACTAAACAACTTTACTGTCAATGTATTTTAATGAAATTATTACCAAGTTCATTATAATTCAAAGTTTTATATTATCTAAGTTTAAATTCCTTTATTTCAAAAGAAACCTCTAAAATATTATTTAAAACTTGAGTTTGATATCTCATTATGCACTCGCAGTTAAGATTCTCAACTTTAAAAGCTCATATAGAAGAAACTGTATATGAGACATTCAAAATACAATATAAGAGGTTGTTTACCAGTAATTCAAGCACATTCCAAGAACTTGTTCCCCAGAGGAAACAGTTGTAAAATTTTCTCTATTTAAGATAAGCCACACCCACTTGCAAAATAGATGCTGTGTTGCTGAGCATCAGTTTTAATTGAACGGCATACTTATAATCATAAAAAAGAGCAGATTTCTCATTGGTATGTTTCTAAATTAAGAGTAAATGTAGACATATATATATATATATGGTTACAAACAAGGTAAAATAAAGCTTGGCCCATTGTTGCGAGCAGGGTCCATAGTGCTTCGCTAGTTTTTCTTACCTTTTACATATTAGTTTGATAGAGAGTTAAATTGCATTTTGGTTTTACTTTTATACTTTTGTTAATTATATATTATTTCTGTTATAAAATTCATATTCCAAAGGTTTATTGCTTATTTAAGTTTTTCTACTCATCGCTTCACTAGTCATGCACTATAAGAAGCAAGGGCAAACATTACGCTGTAGGCTAAGGCAGACTCTCTGACGATCATGATGTTATATCAATCCGCGAGGACCTTCTGAAGTGTATAGACATAAATAATAAAAAATAGATAAAGAATTGAAAAGGAAAATAAAACATAAAAAATAAAAGACTTTTGAAAGGTAAAGGCTTAAAATTACACATTTGATCAAAAAAAATATTTTAAGATTATTCTACAAAGAGATAAAAGGTAAGTACATATTTCCATTTCTTAATTATAAACATTTCATTGCAATGTAGATTGATGATAATAGCTAATTAGTGATATGGTAGAGAAAATGAAATATAAACATTTATCTTAAAAATCTTTTCATACTCATTTAGGAGTTTCTAGAGATTATGTAAGTGAAATGTGAAAACTAAGATAATAAATAGTATTTTTATACTCAAAATTAAAATCATCTTGAAGGTGAACTGTTCAGAGTCTGAATGCAAATAACTAAATTAAATAATTTTTTATTAGAAATAATAGAAGAAAATAAAATTAAATATTATACTTTTCTCAAAATATTGGCACTCCACTCGTTTTATTTTTGGAAAGAAATATAATGAGAACTAAGTAACATGCTGCACTTTGCAGCATGCCGTCATAATTGGGTAAATATGTGCAGGAGTGGAAGTTTCATTCAAGGTTAGGCTCGTGCACAAAAATCGTGCAAGGTAATTGCTCTTAGTTCTGTGGAATGGTGAGTAGAGTTTCTGCAAAAGAGATTATTCTTTGTAATGACTAATTATTCCTGTTCTCTTTTAACTTCTAAAGTATGACTACTACTACTTCATAAAGATTACATCTTACTGTAAATACGAGTACTAAATTACATGTATTCTCATGGTCTGGATAGAAACTTGAAATATCTTTACCATAAAGATAAATTTATTTACCTTTGGTAAATTTTAGAGTTCTTGTCACCATTCGTTGAGGTGTAACATGCTTGACACTGGGATGATTTTTCAATGCTTCTAAACCTTCTTGTAGTGCACTTTCACTTAACTAGAAGTATTATAAAATATTTATATAAACTTAAAATATTCACAAAATGATTAAGTATGTGAAAAAGTACAGCTAGTTTGTTCTTCATTTAGTTCCTATAGATCTCCTATTATTCAATATATGCAAGTTTAATATTCCTTATAATGTTACAATGAATTTCTGTGAAATACAAAATTCCACAGGAATAAACTTTGTCAGATGTTAAGTTATCTTATGTTTGCCAATTGTCAATTAAAGGCTTTTATTTATACTTAATAGTATAAATATATACTTTGTTGTTGTTGTTGGGCTTAGGATTCTTCTACAGTAGGTGTATGTGACTTGTTGGCAGTAAATTCAATGATAAATGAGCAGCATACATTCGACTTATTTTCAAAATAATATATATATTTGGAACAAGTTAAACATATGTACAACAAATTCTTCACACTGTAAAGATTATAGGCATATCATAAACACTATATAGTTCTCTACTTCTTGTCAAAAGTCCACTTAGGCCTATTCAATTGCTTTAGAATTTCAGTTGATAAGTCGATCTATTTTCTCTATTACTATCACACTAGTATTCTGTGTATAATTCACTTACAATTGTTACGCGAATTATACTGCTCTTCCTGTAATCGTTTGGTCTTCTTTCTTCAGGCTGATTCACTTACTTTAGAACTACACTTTGACTGAATAAATTCTTCTTCTTATCTCCATTTCTACTGTTAGTCTTACTCTAACATATTAAACATTAGGCCTATCACTTCTACAGCAGTTAACTGCCTGCCGAACTTTTCCTTGGCCGTGACTTTACTCTTTTTTGCTTGTCTGTCTGCTGTTCCCACTCATCTCATACTACTTATATGTTTATCACTTAATTGTCTGCCTACCTTCTAAAAATCTCTATATTCTCGATGTCATTGTATTGCATGCAACACTCAATAGTCTCAACATCAATGAATTATAAACACAACTTCCAATAATCATCTGCTTTTAACTCTCTTATTATAAACAAAACAAATAAATAAATTAATAATATCTATACTAAAGTCTTTTATATCATAACAAACTTTTCAATCACTTTTTTTTTAAAAAATACTCTACAAAGAAAGTATTAGTATTTGTTTTTGATATTGCTTTACAACAAAGTAATAGATACTTTTCAGTAGATTAGCCTAAACATGTATGGAAGTTGCTTATAATCATAACTGCCAAAAAAAATATAACCAATGCAACTAAAAAGTTTTTATAATGAATTTTTCATAAAACTTAAAGCTAACTTATCAAATTATTAATTGATTACATATAACTATTACTTAATACTCTGTAGCTCAACCTAAGAAGTCACAGAAAAGAAGCACACATAATCAAGTGACTGATTTACCATCATTTTGGTCAATTTGTGAAGAAAAAAAACCAAAAACATACACGTGTGCAAGTTGAATTTTATACATAATACACACACACTTCTATTTGCATATATTCTTAGATACCAATAAAATGCAAAACTTCAATATCATTCTGTTTTAACTGCACTATTGAATACTACTATAATGGAGCTTCTATTAGGTACTACTACAAAAATCTTGTGCCTTACAACTTGTCTTATTCAAAGCCATCTCACCTGTACCACATCAAAGTCACTAGGAAAATGCTTTGCTGGATTGTTCTTAGGAATGACATGCCACCACTTTACATCAGCTTGCTTTAAGGCTGCAGTGATAAACCGTTCTCTAGTTTTAGGTTTGTAGTATCTTCGAAAAGTTACAATATATTCTGAAAGGCACAAATTATTGTAATTAAAAATAAATACAATCTCAAAATATTTTACATCTATATCTACCTATGTAATATTTACAAACAAAAAGTGATGTGCAGACTATGTACAATTACAATTTACCATCAATGATATCATGTGTATTGAACTTATTCTGGATGTTTTAATTAATCTTATTGTTTAGAATCAAGAAAACAATACAGCTCACCAAATCTCTTAACAGCCTGGGAACAAAGGAAAGAACAAGTTTAGGATAAATATGTAAAAATTTGTTGCTAATTATTTTTTCCAGGAAAACAAAATTATAAACAAATCAAATTATTAAAAAAAGTATGTTATGTAACTGACTTGGCACACTTGTGTAAGTGTCTTCATTATATCTTTGCACATAACTGAGTTTTACAAATGAAAATACAAGATAATACTCACCATTTTCCACAACTTCAGAAGAAAATCCAATAATTACTTCTTGTACTAAGGTGTCATTTGTCCTATTACAAATATCAACATATAAATTACCAGGAACATCTTTGCAAGTGGATTTCAATGCAGCTAAGCAGAAACAAATCAACCAAGCAATGAATAAACGAGAAATACGCAAGTTATATGTTTGAAGTCTGTCACACGTTTTGTACATCAGTCTTTCTGGCATTGAACAAGTAATGATCTACTGCATACCAAATGATCCAAAAAATCTCTTATTTTCATCATCTAAAAGCAATAACATCTTGAAAACTTCTGTTTAGCTTGGAACACTGGTTCAGAAAATCTTAAAAGTTCTCCACCTAAAGAAACAAAAAATTCATAAAACTATAATACAATTAAAATACAAAGCAGCTGTAATGGCTTAAAAATGTATTTGAGAAAAATACAAAACCACATTTTATAGTTTTTCATAGTAATACGGCCAATCCTGAGACCATGAGAAAAGATTTATCATTAGTGAACTGGAATTTGAAAACATTTTGAAAACAACTTGTTTTTAATTCAAAACAGGCATTTTCCTAAAAAAAAAACATGAAAAGAATAAAACAGAAGATCAAACCTAGTTGACTTAAAAGGAAAACGTTGGAAATAAGTGCAACAGTTTAAGAAGTTTAATGTGACAGATAAGATTTAACATTTATAGTACTAGAAGAAAGCTATGGATATGGTTAAAAAATCAATTAGGAAATCAAAATGTGTTTGTGAAAAACAATTAGCTGATAATGCTTGAACTAACAGCAATAGTGTTTAAGTATAGTAAAGTTAAGCAATGCATAAAATGGGGATTGAGCCCTGAAAATGATACTGATGACAAGGTTTTGTTGAAGACTATATAATGACTGAATATTTAAATATTTCTATTTTTCTATTTTGCTAATTATATTGTTAAAAACATTCTTAACATATTGGACTCATATTGGAATTGGGCTGAATCATGCAGATATAAATCCTCAATGGTAAGTCAAAAGACTGAGAGATTAAAAATTGACAAATAGCATAAATCATAAAATCTTCTCACTCAGTTTTAACCCTAAAGAGGCCAATGAGCACTTGCTCATAAAATTTCAAAATTTAAGTAAAATTAATAATTGTAACTATTTCAGCAATTTTTAACAAAACATATTTTTGGATTAATATTTTGCATCATTTACTCTAAGAAATCTTGCTGTAATGAATGCATTTATTGTTTTTCTTTTTGGTGTTTTCTGCCCATCCCAAAGTAAAGGTCTACTATTGCTAAGAAATTATCATCCCTTGTTTTTCAGATGATTTGCCTTCTCTGTTAGTGCTGTTATCAGTATAGCTCTTTGTTGCCCTCCTTTTGTGATGTCACAGCATGTTGTCTAAAGAATTACAAATGAAGCTCAGTTTTGAAAATAGATTGAGCCAACAGCTAACAAGAAGAGTCAATTTGATCATTCATGACAGTCCTTGTACATCCATCTTTGGTAAAAGTAAAAAATGTAAATGCCCCATTTCTTTTCAGGATAAGAGGAAGCAAAAGGTTATTCTTAACTCTTTCACTATGGGCTCCATCCCAGGGACCAATCTCATAACCATTTTGTACTTCTTATAGTTTCATGCTGCAACTTTTAATACACTAAGTGTATCTTCACATAATTTTGTGGATTATCAGTAAACATTACAAAGTTTTTGTAAGCAAAACATAGGATTTTTTTAAATAATGTTTTTCTCGTGAATTTTTTCTTTTTGAATGTTGACTATCCAATATGCAAAGTAATTGTCATTTTAATATTAAAAATACTTTTATGCATTAGAAAATTTTCTAATTTAACATGCAAAATCTTTATAACCTTCAAATAATTATCAAACGTTTTTGTAGAAAATTTTTTTATTTTATCTGTTATTTTCACTATTGTATCTCTGTACAAGTTTGGTCAATTTGACTGACCTCATAACCATCATAAAAAGTTATTAAATATATATAAATTAAGCTTTTTTCATTCTAGAATGACTAAAAATTATAACATGAAAACACAAACGTTTATACTAAATAGCTTAAATCTCATAACATTATACATCTATATTTATTTATTTTTATTTTATTGACCTTTCAGCCATGCCTGACTAACATTACAGAAGTTGCAATGATGCAGTGAAAGTGCACTAATGCTATTGTATCCATAAATATAAAACTGCCCTTTAAAAGTGACCTGTCTTCGCTGTGTTCTAGTGGATCAGTATTTTGTAAAATACAGTCATATTTTGACTATAATACATTATATAAGTATATACATTATTACTATTTACAAATACGTTCTTAAATTTCAGTTATTTTCTTAAAACACAGAATGGTAAATAAAGAAGTATAGAACACAATTATCTCACCTAGTTACGAACTTTGTACTCATTTGCTGCTTACCATAAATTGCTAAGCCTTATCAAGTTTTGCACGTGGGGGATGTAAAGCAAAATAATCTTTTTTTTAGGTTTTATATATGCATTTTGAAATAACAAAAAAATCATAAACTACTATACTAGTACCACAGAATTCCACTATAATTTATTAAGCTTAGTAACTAAGCTGCATTTGGGTCTAAAAATATTATTTTTGGAGCTCACTAATGTCTTACCTAACAACTTAGAATATAGCATGAAAAGAAAGAGATTCCCATGCAAATACTTCACAGAGGCTGAGAAAACCACTAGGGGACACTCTGAGCTTTTGATTGGTTATACACACGTCATTGGGCAAAGTAAGCAAGTATTTTCAAAAATTTAAGAGGTGGGTGGGGCCACCTTGGTTGATTCAATAAATATATTAATATCTCAGCAAATAGAAGAGAAGAGGTTTTTATATTCTAGCTCGTAAATATTGGTAATTTGAGTATCTAATTTGTAACACATTATAGACTTTGGATATCACAAACATATAAATTGAACCAATGCTGCACTCAACACACCATGTGACACACAAAAATTGATATATAGTATTTTTTTAATATTTACTTTTAAATTAAGAAATTAATTAATGTATAATACTAAAATTTGAATTATAATCTATAATTTGATACCAAACTTATGGACATACATTCATAAAATATTAGTTCAATAAAATTTTGAATGTGAGTCTTCAAATGCAATGACATGCCCTTTGACCAGTGACCATAAGAAGACACGTGTCGTGTCAGTAGGGTTAATGGAGCCCAGTCAAGCTGAACCTTTCTTATTAGTGGTACGGCTCAGGGGTCGGTGCTTGGGCCTTTGCTTTTTCATATTTACATTAATGAAATTAATAGGACAATAATAAGTTATCTAACTTTGCTGATAACATTAAGCTCAAATATTTCTAGCTATTCTGAGAATGTTGAGTTACTACATAATGTGTTGAATCATTTAGTAAATTGAACAGAGAGTTAGCAAATGACTATTATAATAAATGCAAAGTAACATATTTGGGTTAATCTAATATGGATCCCACTATATGTCTGGGAAATAACTCAATAATGACTAAAGCCAAGCTTCTCTACACAGTGATGGTGGATAAGTCACTCATATCATCAAGACAGTGCACAATTAATAGAAGTAAAACTAACAGAATTTTAGAATATTCTTATATGTTTATTGATTACATCAAAAGAGGTAATTATCTGTTTAAACAAATCACTAAAACTACTTTTTACATAAAAAACTAACCAGAGGTATGTTTTAATAAATGAAACTTCAACAATGAAGCTTATTGCAATACTACATCGTTTAATATTTTACTTAAAAAAAAGGGGGAGTCGTCAATATCATTAAGTTGTAGAAACAAAAACATTATTACTACTCTGAAAAATATTTCAATTAGTTTACTTATTTTATGCTTTTAGGATTTTTAATACTGACTATTTATTAGTGACTTTTGTCTTTAATTGTGTAAAGCTCATTAAACTTAGTACACCAGAATATAGTTAAAACTTGCAAATTTTGTTTCGGTATATGTGATGTTAAACTAGAAAAACTTATCAAAAGATGATGTGTTAGTTATATCAGTCTTTGTATATTTACTCCTTCACATGCAGCCATTTTTGTTCATATTGTTATCTGAAAAGACACTGAAAATGGTGTTTCTGATAACCTGGAAACCCTATGGGGGGGGGGGGGTCATGCATAAAAGCATGATGTTGGGAACCCCACTTGACACCAACAGGGATAACACCCTTTACTAGTTGTATCACCCACCTACTCTTAAATATAATAAAAGCTTTCCCCAACCACATTACACTTGTGATTAAAATTATGATAACCCAAGTGCACTACCTGTCACTTAATATAAAGCTCATTTGACAAATATCTATTCAATTTTCCAAATGATTCAAGTCATTCTGTAATATCTTAGCATCACCAGTTCAGCTAGAAATACCAAGAGTTTCCTGACATCAGTAAATTTTGAAAATTTACTAAAAGGCCCAAGCCCTGACCCCTGAGGAACTCCACTAGCAACAAGGGTCTAGTCTGACTGGACTCCATAAATAACAACCTTTTGCTATCTCCCATGCAACCATCCTACAGTATGACTAACTAATTTTTCCCAAACTACTAATGTAATTTTCTTAGCTAATACTGTGTGGCACTTTATCAGAAGTTTCTTGAAAATTTAAGTACACCAAGTCAACACTTTTTCCATAGTCATATAATAGGAAACATTCTTGAAATGAAAAGATAACAGGTTAGTAAAGCAAGGTTTCCCTTTGGTGAATTCATAGTAGCTCTCTCTTTTATACTGTACTTTGCTACATAATTTTGTAAAAATTCTTTTATCAGGATCTCTAGAAATTTTCCAACTACAAAACTACACCTGTCTTATAATTTCCAAGGCAACTCTCCAATCTTCAAACAGATGTCCACTGTCTACTGACCTTCCAAAAATGAGAGATGCTCTCATATCTGATCTTTGACCTTTTTTAAAACCCTAGGAAAAAACTTTGTGATTCTAATGCTTCATCTCTTTTTAATCTCTTGATCTTTCTACTTACCATTAATGGCAACATTTCCAGTAACCAGTAAAGACTGGTCAGATTGTTTCAAAAGCTAGTTGACGAGCAGAGAAGGAAGCAGCCAGTTAGTCTGACACAGAGAAAAATCAATTTTTTCTGAGACACGTGGGCTGAAATGTGAACAAAGATAATCAGCTGTAGGCTTCTCCCATTTTACTGTCAAAAATGCAAAGCATGCTAAAGCATAATATTATTATAAGAGTAGTGACATTAATCATACTGTTCTAGAATTAATGTGCTAGTGTTTCAGAAAATTTAAAGTCAGATGCATTTTTACAGTAAAGGTGGATCAAGAAAATTGTACATCTTATTTTTGGATAGAATATGAAATGTTACATGGGATGTTTTACTTTTAGACTATAAATACTGTGTTCAAATCAATGTTCTTTTACTAGCAGAAACTATATATATATATATATATATATATATTACACAAATGAAAAATATTTCAGAAATAAACATACACTGAAAATAATAACACATGCACCTTGCCTTTTATTAGTTCCAAGTCTAAAGAGTAGCATCATATAGTTGCATTCCTACCCACAGTTCAGTCTACATGCATTAAGAGAAAGTAATAAATTAGTTTTCCATTCCTTCATGGGTAGCCTTTAGCAAATGATCATAAAGCATTTATTTAAATGAAATTATAGCTTAACTATAAGACCAATTACAGTAAATAACATTCACACAGCTGGAGATAAAACCTGTGGTGTCAACATAGCCATATACATAGAAACAACATCTGTTTGATCAATAAAACATAAGGAGTTTTTTAAATGTGCAGTTTTTTATCCATTAACATGTGTACGTTTATTGGTTTATTAAGAGTTAAGTGTGAGCAGGGTGGGGATGGGGGGGTTGAGTCAGGTAATGACTGTTTCATTTTGTTTCATTTTCAACAGTGGATTTACCTGGTGGAAAGGCTGTACAGGATTAATATCTATGTCACTCACATCAATTCCAATATTTCCCACAGAATGTTCACAATCAAGAATATTGATAATATCTTCAATGAAGTTCTTACCATCAACATCACTTAAGGTGGCAATTCCCAGTTTAACAACATTTTGTATGCCTTTAAGTATACACACAAAAATCCTTGCCATTTTAACATCAGCTATTTCCCACAAATCCAATTTGTTTTTGTAATTTCTTTTTTTTTACCAAATTCCTAGCTTTCCTAAAGTTCTGAAAATCTTCCATCATATCCATCAATTTAAACTTAAGACATTTATCTCTGAAATTTGGCTCTGCCTTTTGTAAGCCAATTAAGACTGACCTTCCTGTTAATCTTTTCCTATTTTTAGGAACATGAATATTTATCTATAAAAAGTTACCAAATCTATCCTACATCACCTTTTGATTTATCTCACTTAATACTGATAAATCTTGTCTCATGGCCTCCAAATAGGAATTTGAAAATTATGAATTAAAATTTATTTAATTTCAACATGTAGCAAAACACCAAATTTAATTTTGCAATGATCACTTTTTTACCAAATGTTCCCCTACTTTAATTCTTGCACAAGTTGCAACTATATCCTCATTAATAGTTAACAATAAATCTAAAACATCCATGCAATTGGCTTTCTGACCATTTGGTATAGAAAACCAGCCTGAATCACACTAAGAAATCTTCCTTATTACTTGACTCCATATTATCCCAATAAATATGTTTTTCCTTTACAGCAACACCTGAATTTCTATGCAAAATCAGTAACATTTTGTATTTCTGAAAAAAAGCTTATTTTAGAAGAATCTTGTATATAAAAAAAGAATGTATTTAATTTTATTCATAGTATTCTTACATTCAAGTTTCAACGGACAAGAAACTTACACAAAAACCTATGCCACACAGAAACAGAAATACTCCAATAATAAATATTAACCTGGAGAAGAATTCAGGCAAATCATGTGAACACCCAGAGTTCCTCAGATTTCAAAGTCTAAAACTTATCAACAGCATTGAAGAGGATGTTACTATTATCTATATGGATGGCTCCCTCCTAGAAGATGGAGGTTCTGGAGGTGGAGTCTATTATATATCTTCTGAACAATCCCTAGAAATATCACATATCAACCCAACTGGCATTCCCATTTTCACAGTTGAACTCACTGCTATCAATGAGGCTATCTCCCTCTTATATAAAACTTGTCCCATAAAGTTTACAATATAAGCAAATTCACAAGCTGCAATCAAAGCAATAGAAAAGTGTTTTACAAGTGACTTAGAAATTTTCATTAAAAGTGCAAGAAATTTAAACAAATTAAACAAGTCTACTGAAATCAGGTTTCTCTGGATTCCTTCAAATGTGAGAGTCCCATGAAACAAGAGCTGATATCCTGACAAAGAAAGTAGCTATGGACCAAGACCCCAGAATTAAAAAATAAACACACCATATGCATCAACTGCAAACACAAAAGAAGAAACTGATGAAGGAATGATATAATAAAAGTAAACCTGGTGCTACATTCACAAACAGTTTAAACAGACAAGATACAACCCTCATTGTAACACTTAAATCCAGACACCTCAGGCAGACAAAATTTCAAAATGGAATAAAAACCCACCCTACTTGTACAAAATGCAATAGAGAGAAATCAAGTGCTAACCATATACTAATGTGTTTAAAAACTACACCTAATGAACTCTATAATAACCCAGAAAGATTCTCGGATTAGTGGATATGCATTCTCTTCGTGAACTTATCTAATGAACTAGGGATAAAATCAATAACTTACATTTAGAAAGTAATAACGGGAACTTACTAACTACTACTACTATTACTAATACTACTAGTATAAGTACTGTTACTAGTAATACTACTACTATTAGAAACAATGTATTAACTTAAGTTTAAATAATGTAACCCTACATTAGGAAGGTTAGAACCACAAGTTCACTTCACTGAATTATTCAAGTTTCAACCTTTGTTAAAGTTTGTAGGCTTATGATTTATTGCTATTGCTGCTAGGGTAATCGTAAATATTTTTAAGAATACCGAATAGAACAAATATAATTTAAATTCTACCACTACTGGTACTAGTAGAGATAAAAAACAAATAATTATATAATAATTTTGTAAACATGCTCCCAAGTATAAGACTCACAATGCGTCTTCAGTCTTTATAAAGCTTGTTTATTAGTTCAACAAGTTTTAGGCCTAATACTAGTGGCTAAGTCAAGACGATTGTAAACTGCTGTCAGACTTCCGGTCAGCCTGATATTAGTTGGATAATAACATCACGAAAATAATTTTCATAATTTTTAGGTAAACGCCTTCAGTCATCACTAAATTAACCTAAGATACTTGAGGTAAAAATTCACAACTGATTACTTAAAATAATTCGACGAGGAATAAGGGTTGTTATAGGTAGTATATCTATAAAAATGTTTGTCAGTTTTTACTGAAAACAAACAAGTTAACTCTACCTTGCTCTGAACACAAGTTTTTTGTGTAATTGATTTGTTTTAGTTAGTTTTTTTTGTATTCGTTCAGCTTTCACACGGTTTGAAGGCGTCAAGTCGGCCATTGACTAACTCATTGAAGTAGCTTTATTT